GCAGTGCGATTGGCACAGGATAGAGCAGGGTTTAGGGCTGTTGTGCATGGGGTCGCTATAAGTCGCAAACGACTCCACGGCACATAACAACAACAAACAACATTCACTGAAAGGTAGAAAGACGGGCGATCTCCTTCGGTGCAATTCACAGCGTGGAAAATCCACTGGAGGGGAGGCTCTGAATCGGTTCTAACTCCCTGGAAATTTATTTTTAAGTCTGAGTAACTTTGAAGGTAATTCTACTTGGACATAAGTTTCATTTATGTAATGTTAATGAAGGTATGGCAGAGAAGTGCCCTAAACCCAATCACTAAAATTATAAAAGACTGGAACACACACATACGCCAAGACCGCTGTAATATACCAGAAAAGAGGCCCCCAGGTAGAATCCTAATATAGATTTCTAACTTCCAGAGTGGTGAGCGGGTAACATTCTAAGTTCTTTCTTTAAAGCTATTAATTTATGTTTGTTTGGTTTTGTGTTTGTTCCCCTCCTCCCCCCCATGGAAGTCAAACCTCATTGCGATAGTATTGGAACCTAATGATATCTGACCCTCTCCTCTATTGGTTTCCTTGGGAGCTCTGGCGGCCTAGTGGTAAGAAGATGCGCTGCAATCCTGCCAGAGGGTCAAGAATGGGTCGGTTCTGACTCCAGAGTACACAACATTTGGGTTTACTAGGCTGTGAATCACATAGGAGGCTATTGCCCATCTTTCTCCTATATGTGGGAAAATGCTGGAGGATTCGCACCAGAACTCCCTCGTGCGGGACGAGGTAGCTAGGATTAAGGATTGGGCGGCTCAAAGATGAATAGTTGGAACCTGGACAGAAAGATGAGGCTTCTGGAAAAATCACAGCCTTGGAAACCTTAGAGGCAGTTTTACTTGGCCGACTCTACAGATTGGAACAACCAGTAATGCGGGCAGGGATGGGTTTTACTTTGTTTATTATCTCGATTCCAACCCTATGCCCAACATTTAGTGCTGTGTTCAGTTTATACTGAAGGCTGATTTAGAGAATGAACAAAGGATTCTATCGCTTGAAATTCTGTGCTTCAATGGTATGAAGACGGTTAGATGAAATCAAGTTTCCAGTTCCCGGGATTTATTGGAACTAGGAATATGCAGCTAGAGATGGGAACGGGTTGAGCAAGGAGAGACCACGAAGTGCAAATAGCTTCTCCTTTCCCTGAAAGAAGCAGTCTAACAAGACAAAAACTGAACAACTTCCAATTCACCACCTGCAGGGAAAACATGCGAGCGTCTGCCTTCATCCGCCAGGACGCGGCCCCTTTAAGACTCCCGGAAGCGGGCGCCAGTGGCCGGAAGTGACCCGCTTTATTTCCCTTCCTCACGTGGTACGGGCAGGAAGTGACGCAAGTGGCCCGGGAGCTGCGGACGCGGAGGCCGACAGATCTCGAGTCCCGAGCGCCGCGGGGTCTCCGGGACAGGTGACCGGAGGAGGGGGTCAGGAGCGCGCCCGGGGAGGGCGGAGCCTGCGCCTCACGTGGAGAGAGCGGGAGCCGGCGTGGGCGCGGTACCAGCTAGCCCGCGGGGGCGGGGTCAGAGTACTCTGCGGGGGGCGGGGACTGGACGCCCACATGGGAAGCTGGAGAGCCGCTGGCGGGGCGGGACTAGGCGGATAAGCTGGGCTGGGACGGGCCAGACTGTGGGCGGGGCCTGAAACTTAGCCCTGGATTGGGGGCGGGGCTAGGGTGTGGCCAGGAAAGCCTGGGCGGGGCTCAAGGGTTGTCGCAGGATCTAGAGGCTTGGCTCGAGCCCTGGCTGGGGCGGGGCCAGAGAATTTGAATGAGTTGAAAGTGGGTGTGGAACTTTGGCCAGCAAGTCAGGGGCGGAGCTAGAGTCGGAGGTGAAGGCGAGGGCGGGGCCAAGATGAAGCTGGGACAGACGGGGCGGGGCCCTACTTTTGGCCGGCATGCTGGAGGCGGGGCCAGAAAGTTTTACCTTGTACTGGCGGAAGCCGGGAAAGTGGGGGCGGAACTAAATATACGTCAAGGGGCGTGGTCACAGCCGAGTAGCGTCTAGGTCTCTGCCCAGGGGGCGACGCCTGGAGTAAAAGGTAGGAGAGGGGGCAGGATGTTGCCTGGGGCACCAGGGAGCAGAGGCAGAAGATTGGCTGGAAAAGTTAGAGGCGGAGCCGTATGAATGATGGGAGGTTGGGTGCGGAGCCCGAGTTCATTGGGCGGAGCCTCAGTGTTTTGGCTGGAGGCTGGCTGGGAAAGTTTTCTTTCTTCCCAGGTAGGCAGCAGACTGGTCACGTTGGAGCGAAGAAGCCTCTGCTGTGGGTACCAGGCCCATTTGGGAATCTTTACGAGATAGGGGATAGTGACAGCGCCGTTCTCGGGGAGCGTTGGTTTAGAATGTTCTCTTAGGGTCAGAGTCGTAAGTACGAGTGTGGTTCAAATAATTTTTGTGTGTCTTAGAGGACGTTTCAGAATCTTGCATACAAAAGAGTTGCGGATCTAAAATGTTTTTGAGGGCGCGAGTATGAATGGAAGCAGAAGGCTTTGAGAGATGGTTTGAGAGAGAGTGTATCTGATGCTTTTTTGGGAAAGATGTGGGCTAAAACGCTAGCCACTGAAGGGTGGCGGCCAGACTAGAAAGTCCATTTGGATGGGAGCAGCCTGGAATACTTGAACAGAAGGACGGGGCCAGGGCATTTACTGGTGGCCCTCCTAGGGTGCACTTTTCAGAGGAGCTCTGATGACAGTCCGCAGGGCATTGCACTGTTAACCCAAAGGTGGTACCTGTCTGGCAGTTTAAATCCACCCTGGGTTCCTCAAGGAAAAAGATGGGCCATTTCTCCTGCGTGACTCTTACTTAGCCTCTGAAAACCTGCTGGAGGGTCAGCTGTGAGTTGGTTCTGACTCTGTGGCAGTGAGTTGAGTGCTTTGCATTTTGGACTGCTAGCTGAAAAGTTTGTGGTTTCAAACCCAGCAGCTGTTATACAGGAGAAAAGGTGAGACTCCTCTTCTTGTTAAAATCTGCAGTCTCAAAAATCTGGTAGAGAGTTGTCATGAATCAAAGTTGACTTGTTAGCAGTGGGTTTGGTTTGGGGCCATAGCAGGTCATGGAGGGCATTAATGGTTAGTGACAGAATTCTTTCCACTACATCTCCCAGTGAGAGTCTGGTGGCCCAGTGGATCCAAAGTTGTGCTTCCCATTGTTTAACAAGCATATTCTTTCAACACTACACATGAATGAATCCAATTTTATATCCTTTAAGTGCTATACCAGTATTGGCTGGAGGTATTAAGTCTGAATTTATTAACTAGATATTTATTTAGAATTCAAAGTAATTTGTGAATTTGTTTTGTATTTATAAAATTTGTACCTGGAAAATGTTCTTTAATTTTTAAAAAAAAACCCAAAAAACAAAGTTGTGCTTCCAACCTTAATTAAGGTGGTGTGTTTCTGGTAGTTCAAAATCTACCAGCAGCTCTATGGTAGAAAGATGGTTTCCTCCTGTTTGATTTGTTGTTTTTACTGTCAAGTTGAGCATGACCCAGAGCAACCCTATGAATAAGAAATCTGAACTCTGTCCTATTTTGTGCCTTCCTCACACTTTCTGATACACTTGAGTCCATTGCTGTACTCACTGTGTCAGTCCATATGGTTGAGGGTCTTCCTTTCTTTTGTCTACATTCCACTGTTCCAAGCACAACTCCCCATCCAAGGAATAGCCTCTCCTAGTACCATGCCCAAACTATGTGAGACAGCTTTATCATCTGTTCTATTTAGAGCCTTGAAAACCTACTGGAGGGTTGGCTGTCACTTGGCTCCAACTCAGTGACAGTGAATTTGATGTTTTTGGACCTCACCTACAACTAAGACCAAGATGAGGAAATTAAGGAATTTTAGCTTTTGCAATCTGGAATCAGTTGAACGTGCAGCTGAGATTCACAATTTAATAATTGGTGACTAGAATGCAAAAGTTGGGAGCAAAGAAGAGAGAATGATAGTTGGAAATTATGGACCTGATTATAGAAATGAGGTTGGAGACCAAATGATTGAATATTGCATAATGATTTATTCATGGCACATAGATCTTTTAAAAAATCACAAGATGTGTTTGTACACGTGGACCTCACCTTAATGGACTTCACAAGAATCAGACTGACTATCTTTGTGAAAAGAATTGTTGGAGAAGCACAATATCAGCAGTCAAAACCAGATCAGATGCTGACTGTGGACAAAATCTTCCTCCTCATGTGCAACTTCAAACTGAAGCTGGAGAAAATAAAAACAAATGCATAAGAACCAAAATACAACCTTGAGTCTACCCCACCTGAACAAAAAAACCATCTCAACAGTAGGTTCAAGGTTTTGGACACTAATGATCAAAGGCCAAATGTGGGATGATATCAAGGATATTATTCATGTAGAAAGCAAAGCATTACAAAGACAGAGGGAAAGAAAAGACCAAAATGGATATCAAAAGAGACTTTGAGAATTGTACTAGAGTGTTAAAAAAACAAAATAAAAAGAAAAATGTGACCAAAGTAAAAGAGTTGAAAAGAGCTTTCAAAAAAGCAGCTTAAGGGGAGCTCTGGTGGCCTAGTGGCAAGAAGCTGTACCGCAATCTCAAAGGTACACGGTTCGAATCCACCAGATGCTCTGCCGGAGGAGGGACAATTTCCTCCTGTACCAGTCACATCTGATTTGATGGTACATGCACAAAAAATAATAAAATGTAAAAAAAAAAAGCAAAAGAGCAGCTTAAGAAGACAGAACAAAGTATTATAATGAAGTATGCAAAGAGCTGGAGTCAGAAAAATAGAACTCAGATTTCTCAAGCTGAAAGAACTGAAAACCAACTTAAAGCCTGGAATTGCAATACTGAGGAATGCTTGGGGAAAAATCCTGAATGATCCAGGAACCATCCAGAGAAGATGAAAGGAATACAGTGAGTCACTGGACCAAAAAGGATTGGTTGACACAGAACCGTTTCAGGAAGAAACTTATAATCAAGGACCAAAGTAATAAAAGAAGACAGTCAAGCTGCACTGAAAGCTTTGGCAAAAAAATAAAGCCCCAGGAATTTATGGGATCTCAGTTGACATATTGCAACAGACAGATGCTGCCCTGCATCTATTCACCAGGCTGTACCAAGAAATTTTGGGAAACGATTGTTTGGAAAACTGCCTGGAAGGGATCCATATTTGTTTGCACTCCCCAAAAAGGTCACCAACAGCATGTGGAAATTATAGAACAATATAACTATTCAAAATATGTCACATTAGGGATATCACCTGTTGGAGAGCCCTCCCATACTAAAGAGTAATGATGTAAACTTGAAGACTAAGGTGAACCTGATCCAAGCCATGTTTTGTTCTTTTTTTTTTTTTTTGTCACTTGAATGCGATGCATCTGATAGTTGGGCAGTAATTAAGGATGACACAAGAAGAATCAGTGCCTTTGAGTTGTGATGTCAGAGAAGTTGTTGTTTAGTGCCGTCGAGTCCTAGACGACTCATAGCCACCCTATGAACGAACGGCCTGAGCACTGTTCGTCTAGTTTCCAGAGGCAAGCCATTTCGGAAGTGGATGCCGCTCCTGCTTCCAGGCTTGTTTTAGTCGGGAAGCTCCAGCCAACACTGTCCACCATGGGTATCCATTACCACGATTGGCACATCACTGTCACAGTCTTCAGCATCACAGCAACCACGAGTTACCTCTGTACAGCAACACACAGACCAGTGCTATACCACCCAGAAGAATGTTTGACTGGATAGCCCTCAGACTGCTGAAAGAACAAGTGTGTCGTAGAGAAAGTGAAACCAGAGTTTCTTCTTAGAGACAAAGATGGTGAAACTCCATTTCGCATACTTTATGTGGTTCAGAGGGGCTGGTCCGTAGAGAATGACATCATTCTTGGAAAGGTGGACGATCCACATGCACGGGAAGGTGAACCGACACGGTGGTGGTGGAGATGGGGTCCAGTGTGTCAGAGATGGTGAGGATGGTGTCGATGGTCAAGGCAGAGGTGATAATGGGCAAGGTTCAGTGCCGTCCGTAGGGTCGCTGTGAGTTGCCCTTGACTTTGATGGCACCCAACAACAACAACAACGTACGTGATTGCGTCTGTGGAGGCTTGCATGTTTCTCTGCTGCTGAACAGATTTTGTCAGAGCTTTCACTCAAACTAGGAAGAAAGGCCTGGTTATCCACTTCCAAATGGAAGCCAGTGGAAACGCTGCAGATGGCAGATTGAACCTCTGAGCTGCTGAGCGTCATGGGAGTGGGGCAGGGCTGTATGACATTTCACTCTGGCACATGGTCTGAAGTATTGGCCAGCTTACAAGCCACAGATGACAGCATCTCCGCATAATACCCGAACCTGCCGCTGTTGAAATGATTTCGACTTACAGCAACCCTGTGGGGCAGAGTAGGCCCACCCCGTGTGGTCCCCAGGGTGGTTCTGGAAGCTGTCTACCACCAGCAGGACCTCTGTATGGTTAATAGCTGTGTGCTAACCACTGCACCACCAAGGCTCCCGACCACCAGCCCAAACCAAAGTCAAACCTGCTGCCGCCCTGTTGATTCTGACTCCTGGCCATCTTCCATCAGGTGTCTGAGGCTGTAAATCTTAACGGGAGGTGACTGCCTCATCTTTTTTCTCACAGAGTGGCTAATATATTCATTTGAACTGACGATCTTTAGGTTACCAGGGCTCTTTAGCCTAACCACGAAAACCAAAACTCAAGTCTGTTGTATTTCTGAGATGGTGACTTTTTTTTAAAAATTATTATTTTGTGTGTGTGTGCCGTCAAATCGGATCTGACTGGTACAGGAGGAGATGGCCCCTCGTTCTCTGGCAGAGCATCTGGTGGATTCAAACCACATACCTCTGGGATTGCAGTGCAGCTTCTTGCCACTAGGCCACCAGAGCTCCCTTGAAATGGTCGCATTTTATGGGAGGAGATCGCCCATCTTTCTCCTTTGGAGCGACTGGTGGACTTGAACCAGTCTTTGGGTTGCTCCTGATAATAGCTCACCTTAATCTTTCTAGGGACTGGGTAGCTGGAGGCAGCTTTTCAGGGGCTTGGTTATAGAATCGAGGGTGGGTAATTTTGAGCAGAATGGATGGGGGTATTGACTTCCTTGTTCCTTCTGTTCTCAGGAACCCCCTCCCTGTGCAGTGTTCAGAATTTCCAGCAAGGTGTGCCAAGCTGGCCCGCAAAATGGTGAGGTGAAAAGTGAACATTCCAGAATCTCTGTTTTGGGGAAGACGGCTTGGGAGGAGGGGGGTCCAGCCACCTGACTCTCAGACCCCAGCTTGACCCACACAGGGTGGGCTGTTGTTATGTGCCATCAGGTCGAGTCCCACCCCTAGCGACCCTGTGAACCACAGATCTGAACCCTGTCCTGTCCTGCACAGGGTGGGTAGAGGGCTTCGTCCAACCCCTCGTTGCTTCCTCTCCAGGCGGCCGCCCTGGATCTAAAATCGAAGGAGGAGAAGGATGCTGAGTTGGACAAGAAGATCGAGGCCCTTCGGAGGAAGAATGAGGCCCTTATCCGGCGCTACCAGGTGCCCTAGCCCTGCCCTGGGAGACCCCACCCCCTCTCCTCCCCGCAGTGAGTTTTCCCAGACTTTGATTTTGACCCTACTGCCCACACCTTCCCTCTAAACCCTCCATGGCTCCCATGCTCTCAGGATCAATGCCAAAGGCCTTAGCCTGGCCTTCCCTCCTTCATTCCATCATCTGCGAGTTCACACATGCTCACTGAAGTCTTTGTGCATAGACTCTGTGCGGAGGGGTGCTAGGAGACTGCCCTGGGGTGCCCATCCAAGGCTCATGGTCTAGTAGGGGGATACAGACCTGTTCTCAGTCTGACTCTGAGTGGCCAGGGCCAAGATGGGGAAGCTCAGGGGCACTGGGTGCCTAGAAGTCATGCCTGAGCCAGCCTGTGGAGCTTTAAGGAGGGCTTCTTGGAGGAGGGGACATCTGAGGTCTTTAGTGTGAGCACATGTTAGCCATTTGAAAAGACACATAACTCCTAACTTAAACGTTGGCAGTTCGAAGCCACCCATTGGTGGTAGAAGAAATTACCTGGCAATCCTTGAAGTTTATAGCCAGGAAGAACTAGAGTTTTGTCAGAGAGTTAATACATAAGGTCACTGAGAGTCAGAGTCAACCTGACAGTGATGGGTCTGGCTTTTTGGGCCAGGGAGTTAGTGGCGTGTCCACAGGGGCCAGGCGTTGCGTGGTGCTGAACCCTACCAGGCTGAGAGCTTGAGTGGTTTTGGTCCAGCACAAGGACGGCTGAGAGTAAGGGCAGGGCTGTGCCATAGTAACGGCTAATAGGAAGGTCCCTCCAGTTGATGTGGGGTGGGAGAAAATGACACTGGAGGCCAGGCAATAGAGGAAGCTGGGGCAGGCACCTTGTGGGGAGAGAAGGCCACTGGGCCAGGCCAGGGCTGAGAGGAGGGAGCATAGAGGGTGAATTCAGAATATTCTTGAAGGACTCAGTGTCTGATGGCAGTGGTAAGAGGGAAGAGGGGCGGGACAGTCCAGGACAAGGTGTGGCTGTCTGTCAGAAGTCACAGGAATCAGGGAGTAGAGGTTTCATGTATTCATTCTTCATGCATTCATTCATTTAAAAAAACCAAAACCAACCCACAACAAACCGTGGTACATTTCTGCTGCGTACCAGACACGACCTTAGACTTGGGGACTTCCTCAGATCAGACCCTGTGCACGGGCAGACTGTGCTGCCGCGGGGGAGGCAGGAAGCAAGTTGGATACACAGGCTGCCAGTCTGTGACAGTCTGCCGTGAGGAGAGACAGACAGCACAGGGAGAGAGGATGGTGGGGGCTAATCTCTCAGGGTGGCCTGGGAAGGCCTCACCAGAGGAAGTGTGGGGACCTGGGGAAGAGTATGCCCAGTGGCAGGATCAGTAAGTGCAAAGGTCCTGGGGCAGGGCCTAGCCTGGCACGCTCTAGGCACCTGAGGAACTGAACCACATGGGAAGTGAGGCCTTGGGCCCCTGTATGTTGTGGGAAGGTGTCCATGTGTCTTGTCCTCGGGCTTGCTTAGCACAGAAGAGTCTAACAAGGGACTGAGCCAGGGTTTCAGGAAAGATGCTAATGTGACTAGCATGGTGTTGGTCAGCGCTCAGGAGTGAGGCTGGACTGGGGAAGAGTTTGGGGGGGTGAGGACCCCACCCTGACATCCTTGCCCACTTGCTGCTCCAGGAGATCGAGGAGGACAGGAAGAAAGCAGAGCTCGAGGGCGTGGCGGTGACAGCCCCCCGGAAGGGCCGCCTGGAGAAGGAGAACATGGCCGTTGAGGTGGTGAGCGTGCCTCTGAGGTGGTGGGGGCTCCTGAGGAGGGCTAAGAGAGGTTTAGAAGCTTGAAGCCAGATACCCTCCTCTTAGCTGGCCAGGTCTGTGAATGCCCTCGATCTCTTGACTGGGGGTGCCCCCAGTTCCTGCCCCGGTGACTGTCCTCTTCGCCTCACCCTCTTTCAGGAGAAGAACTTGGGCCCTTCCCGGAGGTCTCCTGGGACCCCTCGGCCCCCAAGGCCCAACAAAGGGAGCCGGATGCCCCCTCAGCGAGGAGGCCGGGCAGGTGCTGGCCGGGCACCCCGAAGCTGGGAGGAGAGTCCTGGGGAGCACCCTCGAGGAGGAGCTGGGGGCCGAGGCCGGAGGGGCCGAGGCAGGGGTGCCCCTCATCTTTCTGGGGCTGGAGATGCCATCACGGCGATTGCTGACCGCAGATCCAAGGTGAGGGCTGGGAGGAGTTGGATCCTCTGGTTGCGGTCTCTTTGGTTGGCTTTCCCATACCCCTGCTCTTCAGTGTCCTGGTGGTACCATTCCTGTCTGTCATTCTTTCTCAGCCTCTCTGGGTGATGTGGGGTGTGTGTCTGTGTCTGTGACTCTCTTCAGTCTTCTCCCATTTCTCTGCCTCTGTCTTTTGACCAAACAACAACTCATGGCTGTCAAGTCAGACTGACGCATAGCTGACCCTCCAGTGGGTTTGTCAGAGGCTGCAAATTGCGTGGAAGTTCATCTTTCTCCCAAGAGGCAGCTGATGGATTTGAACTACTTGCCTTTGGGTTTGTGGTACAGCTCTTTTCCACAGCTCCCTCCCCCTTAGCAGTCCCCTCATTTTCTCCTCCTGTTGCTTGCTTTCCCCCCTCACTGTGTGGTGTGTGCCCATTTGTCTCCTAGCTCCTGTCTCTCGCTTCTTTCTGGGGTTCAGTACACTTGTCTCCATACACCCCAGGCTGGACGTGCATGCTTTCCATTTCTGCATGGTGAGCGTCTGTCTCTGCACGTCGTGTCCCTCTGTGTCTGTATTCTCTGCCTCTGCACAGCTTGTCCTCCTGTTCTTGCACTCCCTGTCCCATCAGCCCCTGAACTGGCCATTTGTTTCCGTGGACCCTGTCTGTCTGTCTCTGTGTCCTCTCTGTCCTACTCTCTCTGTATCTATCATCATCCTAGATTGCTTTGTAGAGAGTAGTGTTCCTACTACTGTAACTGTCTCCCAACCCCCAGGTGATCAGGGCAGGAGACTTTCTGTCTAAGATAGTGACTTACGACCCTCACAGACTTGGGTGCAATCTGGTCTTATTAGCTGCACATTTCTGGGAAGCTCACTGCCTCTCTTGGAGCCTCTCGGATTTTGCTTTTGGACAGGAGTGATGAGTTAGCCTGAAGGTCCTGAACTTGAACCTTGAAGCCCTCAGGAGAGTGCCTGGTACAGAGCGAGCTCCAAGTAAACGGTACTCTCAGTACTCTCAGTTTCCTGCACACGCTAAGTTCTGTAACAGAAAGATCCCAGAGTCCCATGTAAAGTGGAAATTATTCTTTCTCAGATGCTGAGCCAGTACATGAGAGAACAGTCCAAGTATAGGTCCTGCTCCAAATGACCTTTAGGGGACCAGGTTCCCGTCTTCTTGCTACTTAGTCTTTCCTTAGGGCATGGCACTTGGCTGTAGGTTCAAAGCCATGGCTGAGGTCTAGTTCATGGAAGGGGAAACAAGTTCATGTTTCCTATTTCTCACTCCTTTTGATGACCATCCAACTAACTGCAAAGGATGCTGGGCAATGAGAACATCGTCTGGCTGCTTGACCATGTGTACATCTCAAGTTCTGTGTCCTCGAGGGAACAGGAGAATGGATTGTTGGGGATCAACTGGCCATTTGCTGGGTTACATCACCATTGTTAACTTTCATGAGGATAGCTGTGGGGTTTCAGGGTCCCCAGGGCCATTCCCAGATCCAGTGACGTGCTAGAAAGACCTGCAGGACCCAGCATATTTCAGTGAACGAATGACATCAGCTGCAGTGAAAAGATGTAGAGCAGAATCAGAAAAGGGAAGAGGTGTGTGGAGTGAAACGCAGGGAGAGCAGGCTGCCGAGATCGGAGACTGCTTCCTTTGAAGTCTCCTGGAACACATTGACTGTGACGGGCAGTACATGTGCGGGGTTGTTAGCCAGAGAAGCATGGCGGCCCTGTGCTGGTGGGAATGAGTTACTCTCCAGAGACAGGCCTGCCACGCTCCCTGCTCCAGGAGGCTTGAGGAGCCAGCTGTTGGAGATTGGATTCTTGTCAGGACCATGGAGAGCAACCGGCCTGCAGAGTGGTGCCCGAGCCACCATCATTGAGTCGGGCACGGCCGTTTGTTTTCTGCTGGGGTCAGAGCAACAGGCAAGAAGCCCACTTGATCCCTACAGGACGTATAGTGGCGCCTGTTTAGGATGACTCTTTCTGAACCCTTTTGAACTGATTCAGTTTAAAAGCACAGTAAACCAGCTTATCAGAACACCGGCCAAGGGTGGGCTTTTTACAAAATCCCGTCTCAGTCCAGCTGTGGCAGTTGTCTTTTGTTGTTGACTTTTTTTAAATTTTTTTTTTTATTTTTATTGTATTATTTTTACGTGTACCGTCAAATCGGATCTGACTGGTACGGGAGGAGATTGCCCCCTCCTTCTCCAGCAGAGCATCTGGTGGATTTGAACTGCGTACCTCTGGGATTGCAGTTCAGTGTCTTGCCACTAGACCACCAGAGCTCCCTTGTTGTTGGCTTTTAAAATTGGGATAAATGCATTGGTAACAAATCAGTTGCCTTCCCCCCCCCCCCCGATTTTTTTCTTTTAATTACTTTTAATGAAAGTTTACAGATTTAAGGCTTCCAGTCATTCATTGTTGCAGTTTTCTCCCTACCCTCCCCCCCCCAATTTACTCTTCTCCTTGAAAAGTAAAAGAAAAACTTTCATTGTTATGTAATCCCTCCCCCCAAGTCTACTGCACAGTGCAGCCTTCATTCTGGATGTCTGTAATGACAAAAATACCCAATCATATGTCCCTTTTAAACAGTTCTCTCCCTCATCTGTTTCAATGCAGTATACATCATTCCTCCCCTCCTTTTCTGTCTTCCCTCAACCCTGATGTCAGTCCCGTTTTACAACAGTGGCCCTATGCAATCAATATTTGTCCTTTTATGACTGAGATATTTCACTCAGCATAATGTCCTCCAGGGTCGTCCATTTTGCTTATTATTTCATGAGTTCCTTGTTTTTCAATGCAGCGTAGTATTCCATTGTGTGAATATACCACGGCTTCTCTATCCATTCGTTTGTTGATGGGCACTTGGGTTGTTTCTAGCTCTTTGCTATTGTGAACGAAACCGTGATAAACATGGATGTGCATAAACATTTGCCTTTTCTTTTTTTTTGTGTGTATGTGTTCAGTTCTGGTCTCTTTATTTTAATTTTTATTTATTTATTCTTTTTATGTGTGTACCATCAAATTGGATCTGACTCGTAGAGGAGGTGACTGTTCCTCCCTCTTCAGTAGAGCATCTGGTGGATTTGAACTGCACACCTCTGGGATTGCAGTGCAGTTTCCTGCCACTGGGCCACCAGAGCTCGCCAACATTTGCCTTTTCAACACGCTTTCACACTTCAGTGATATTAAAAATGTTCATCACACTCAGCTGTCACTCCCAGCTATTCTTGCTATTTTTTTTCCATACCTTAAGAGTAGTTCAGGGGCTCTCTGGTGGCCTAGTGGATAAGGGGTTGTGGTGGTAACCCAGAGGCAGGAGGTTTGAGTCCACCAGCGCCTTTGAAGGGGAAAATTGGTCAGCTGTGGGTCATTCTGACTCGGTGGCATTGAGCACGAGATCCTTGGTCTGTGCCTTCTGCACCTTTGGTCTGAGTGACACGGAGTCTTGTCTGTCCGCCCTCAGGAGTGGGAGGAGCGGCGCCGGCAGAACATCGAGAAGATGAACGAGGAGATGGAGAAGATAGCGGAGTATGAGCGGAACCAGAGGGTCAGTGCCTGGGTATCCCGCGAGGTGGTGCAGCCTGGCCGGCCTGCCCCTGACTCTGTGCCCCTGTCCCTGACCCCCAGGAGGGCGTGCTGGAGCCCAACCCCGTGCGGAACTTCCTAGACGACCCCCGGCGTCGCGGAGGGCCCCCAGAGGAGCCGGAGCGGGACCGCCGGGAGGGCAGCCGCCGGCACGGGCGCAACTGGGGGGGCCCTGACTTCGAGCGCGTGCGCTGCGGCCTGGAGCACGAGCGGCAGGTGGGTCCCGAGCGCACGGGTTCGGTGCCGCTCTGAGCAGCATACCTTTTTTTTTTTTAATTTTATTAGTTTTAATGAACATTTACAGAGATTTTGGGTTTTCATTCATTCATTGTTGCACTGTTTTCTGCACCCTCCTCCCCAGTTCGTTCTTCTCCCCCCCCAATGTCTGTTTTAATTGTCCAATTGCCACAGTGCTTGTCAAACATACCTTTTTTTTTTTGCTGAGAAAAATTTATATTTAGAATTAGCCATCTGGACTCAGTTTAGATGATCCCAATTGTGTTGGCAACATCCAAAGCATCATAGTGAGGAGCAAGTCGAACATAGGCCTTTTCTCTCCATCAGACCTGATCGAAGTGTTGACCTTGGCCACACCAATGTCATAGAGCTTCTTTACAGGTTGTTTAATTTGATGCTTGTTGCCCTTGGCATCCACAATGGACACAAGTCTGTTGTTACCTTCTATCTTCTTCATGGCTGACTCACTGGTCAGGGGAAACTTGATGACATCACAGTGGTCAAGCTTGTTTCTCCTGGGGGCACTTTTCCAGGGGTATTTGGGCTGCCTTCAGAGTCTCAGCATCTTAGGCTGCGGGAAGGTGGGTGACATGCGAATCTTCTTTTTTTTTGTGGCTGTGGATGCCCTTCAGGACGCCTTCTTGGCCTTTAATGCCTTCGCTTTGGCTTCAGTTTTGGGAGGGGCAGGGGCATCCTTCTTTGCTTAGAAAGTGAGCAGTGTGCTTTTATTGAGTGCTTGCTATATACCAGGCTTCACCCAGGGACAGCAGCGAATGGGGCGATCCAGGGCCACAGGGCTTCATCTTCCTTCTTGCTCAGCGAGACTGTGTTCTTGGCCTCTAACTGGAAGGCCCACATTTTGAACCCTCTGGCTCCACTGTTTGGGGAGCTCTGGTGCTGTAGCCCATAAGTAGTTGCACTGCCGACCCCAAAGGCTTCAGCTCTCTGGCTGTTCAAATCCACCAGCAGTTTAATAGGAGCAAGATAGACATTCGCTTGTCATTTACAGACTCAAAAACCCGGTGGAGGGTCATCAGGAGTCAGAGTTGACTTGACAGTAGTAAGCTGGGCTTCAGAGCTGCTCTGTGGGACACAAACGAGGCAGGCCCCGTCTGTAAAAATGATGGTTCTGGAAACCCTGGGGGGCCACTTCAGCTCTGTGCTAGTGTTGTGAGTTGGAGTGGAATTGCTAGCCCGTGGTTTGGTTTTGCTAAGGATAACTCCATGAGGAGTCCTGATCGTTGACTGAAAGGTGGACAGCTTTAACCCCCAATGTGTCTGCGGGAGGGAGGTGAGCAGGGGCTTCCATAAATGTGACACCCTTGGGAACGCCAGGGGGCAGTTCTGCTCCGTCTGCCAGGGCCGCTGCGCCAGTACCGACTTGGTGGTGGAATGGTGTTGCGTTCCATTGAGCTGGCCCCCAAATCCTGGTGACCCTGCATATTACAGAGTAAGACTCCACAGGCTTTCCTTGCTCCTTCATAGAAGCAGATTGCCAGGCCTTTCTTCCGCAGAGCCACAGGGTGGGCGTGAACCGCCAACCATTAGGTTAATAGTTGAGTACAGACCCCATGTGCTCCCAGGCTTCTGTGCCAGTGTGGTAGTCAGCCTGGACTCGGAGTAGCTTTTGGTTGCTGTGAGGAGTATTTCCATAAGGCACGCAGTTAATGGGGCTTGGCCCCTTCAGAAAGGTTGACGGTTTGAGTTGCACCCAGAGGTACTACGGAAGAAATGCCTGGTGATCTGCTTCTAAAAACTCAAGCCACTGACGACTGTGTGAAGCACAGCTCTGCTCTGACTCGTGAGGTCTTTAGTAGGAGATGCCTTGGTGGCCGCTGGTGCAGGCTGCCTCCTGCTCGGCTAGTCTGCCCTCATTCCCAATTGTGGGAACTTGTACCAGCCACCCACTGCGTGAGGGGTGGTGCCAGGCTGAAGAGAGGAGAGACACCCCTGGGCTTAGTTGTTCCCCCCACTACGAGTCATGTGCTGGTCCATGTACAGATCCTGTCTCCTTTGATTATGACAGCTTTACGGCCTGTCTGTGGGCTCTCTTCTCCTTCCTACCATTAAATCTGTTTACTGGGCTTTTCTGTGTACTGGACGTTCTGTGAGTTTGTTGTTTGGCTGGGAGTGGGAACTGAGGCCCAGCCCCTGCCCTGCTCACGTGCGTTCTCAGTTTTAGACATCCTGTATTACAAACACTGTTGACAGTGTGCAGTTTGCTGGTGGTACCTTCCTCAGATGTTTCCTTTCACTGCACTTGTTCTGGGCTTCACTGTTTCAAACTGCCACCGCGCAGGCCGCGGCCTGCTATGCAGTGAAGCCACTGTCATAGCTGTCACAGACGGAGAGTTGGGTGATGCCCAACCTCTAAAGACATAGGACAGTTGACCCGCTCTTGCATCTGACAGCCATCCCAACTCTATAACTCCATTACTAAGACAGTGATAATGAACAATTGGAAAGCTAGGGGGGAAAGGTGTCTTGTTAATGCTGTAATGATAATGGGAGGAGAAAAGAAATATTTGTTTTTTTGTTTTTTTTGTTTGTTTTGTTTTTTATTTTATTTATTTATTGATTGATTGATTGTGTGAGTGTACTGTCAAATCGGATCTGACTGGTACAGGAGGAGATTGTTCCTCCTTCCCCGGCAGAGCATCTGGTGGATTCGAACCGTGCACCTCTTGGATTGTAGTTGCAGCTCCTTGCCACTAGGCCACCAGAGGTCCCCAGAAAAGAAATATTTGACTTAACGTCAGAACTGATTTCTGAGAGAGGAGATGACAGCTGGAATGTCAGTTGGTGACTGTCGGTATATGAGATGTCCCATAGTATGGAGAAGCAAAATCAAACAGGATTTGGGGCATCAAGAGAAGACCAATAGGGGTGCTAGTTAAGGAGAGCTCTGAGATGGAGGCCTCCCTGGAGCAGAACGTGAATTCTGCCACATTGCTGCCTCTCTGGGGCCTTGGACAATGGTGGCTCAGCTCTGGGTTTATAGGGCTAAGGCTGAGGGGTGCGCCAGGGTAGGAAATAGGGTCCTGACTGGCTTTTGACTGGAAGCAGGGCCGGCGGCCCAGCCCTGGAGGCACTGGTGACATGACGCTGTCCATGACGGGCCGGGAGCGGTTGGAATACCTTCGCTGGAAGCAGGAGCGAGAGAAGATTGACCAGGAGCGGCTGCAGAGGCACCGGAAGCCCACTGGCCAGTGGCGGCGGGAGTGGGATGCCGAGAAGACCGACGGGATGTGAGTCTCCACCCTGCTCTGCCTGGTCAGCTTCTTGACCTTGGTCCTGACTTCAGACCCCTTTGGTTCTCTGCTTTCTCACCCTGTGGATCAGGCAGCAGTTCCTCTGGTCATGCTGTGTAACAGCCCCCAAGTCTCGGTAGTGTAGAAGAGCAGTGTTTGTTGTGAGCTCCCGAGGCAGCTGGGTTTGGGGGCTCAGACTGGACCCCACACGCTGGAGGTCCTCGCTGTCATTTGAGCTCAGCTCTCTGTCCCCCGGGTGTCTGGCCTGGGGCTCAGGGTGAGCCATGCAAGAGGGTGTTTGAATACATGTCCGCAGACCAGCGTCCCTGGGCATCGCTAAACTCTGTCCACTTTGGTGGATGCTGCCTCGGAGCCCATGGCCAAGGCCATCCTGGCATTTCTAATATAGGGAGGACATGAGGAATTGCCTGCAGTGATGAGATTTCCCATCTTCCATCCTTTTACAGCTCAAGCCCTAGTGGCATGTTGTTGTTATGTGCCGTCGAGTCGTTTGCGACTCATAGCGACCCTATGTACAACAGCCCTAAACCGTGCTCTATCCCGTGCCATTCTCATTGCCTCTGACACACCCATCCCGATGACCCCAGTCACTGAATCAATCCACCTCATAGAGGGTCTTCCCCTCCTGCGCTGTCCCCCCACTCTGCCCAGCATGATGTCCCTCTCTAAAGACCTGTCTCTCCTTACAACATGTCCAAAGTATGTCAGTTGAAGCCCCAGAAACCTTGCCTCCAAGGAGCAGCCTGGTTTAACCCTCTCTAGGATGAATCTGTTTGTTTTCTTGGCAGTCCAGGGTACATTCAATACTCTTCTCCAGCACCAAAGCTCAAAGGCGTCAGTTCTCCTTCTATCCTCCCTAGTCATTGTCCAACTCTCTGATGCATAACAAGTGATTGCAAAAACCATGGCCTGTATCAGGCGCACCTTAGTCTCCAGAGAGACACCGTTGCTCTTGAGTACTTTAGAGAGGTCCCTAACCGCAGACTTTCCTATTACAATACGTTTTTTGATTTCCTGGCTGCTGGTGCCAAGAGTGTTGACCATGGAGCCGAGCAAACTGAAGCTGTGAACACTCTCAATCTCTTCGCCATCCGGCTAGTGGCATAGTGTTTGAAATAATGACTGCTAATGTCAAGATGGCCTCTGTCCTTCCCTTATTCATACCCTCCTTTGACTTGTGTTGGGCGCGCACTCATCCGATCCACATTTCTCATCCTGCCCTGTCGCTCTCCTCATCCCTTCAGACCTCCTTGCTCCTTCCGTCCCCTGACCATCAGCTCATCTCTCTCCCTCTTCCAGGTTCAAGGATGGCCCAGGCCCTGCTCTTGAGCAGTCCCCTCGATGTGGTAAGTGGCTAGCCCTGGCTCTGTGTGGACTGCAGTGGGTGGGGAAGTGGTGCGGGCCGCATGCCTCTCACAGCTCCTGGGATCTGTTACAGATGACCAGCCTAGGGCCCGGCCCCCCAAGCCTCCAACATTTGGGGAGTTCTTGTCTCAGCACAAAGCTGAAGTCAGTAGCCGCCGGAGAAGAAAGAGCAGTCGGCCCCAGGCCAAGGTGGCCCCTCGTGCCTACAGGTGGGCACCCTGTCCTCCGCATGTCTGTACCCTGGCAGAGCTGTGCCTCTGGCCTCCATCCTCTTCCCTGTTGTGTGTGTATGTGATAACAGGGAGGGAGTAACACAAGTCCCTGGATAGTGCTAATGGTTTCTGTTTAGCTAACCTAAAGGTTGATAGTTCAAATCTACTAAGGGGCACCACAGAAGAAAGATCTGGCTCTCTGCCGTCATCAGAATCACAGTCAGCAAAGCCCTATGGTGCAGTTCTACCCTGTAACACATGGGGGGGGGGGCTCATGAGAGGAAATCGACCCAGTGGGAGTGTGTCTGGTCTTGGTGTTGATGTGAGTGTACTTGTTGTCCTTCCCTGTTCACGCCTGCCTGCCTTTAGCTCTTGTCTCTGCCTCTTTGTGTTTTTGTTTTGGGCCCATCTGATCTCTATTGGTCTTACCCTTGGCATTGAAGAGTTGGGGCCCGGGTCTCCACTTAACCCAACTCTGTCCCCCCTTCCTGTCTCCCTTATCACCTGGCTCCCCTTCTGCCATATGTCCCCACTTCCCCTTCCATTGTTCAATCCCTGATACCTGGGCCCACATGCCCATTCAAGGACCCTGAGTCCTCATGATGAAAACCCCCTCTCCTCTCCTCCCCTGTCCGTCTGGGCCTCACCCCTTCCCCACACCCTCCAGTGACCACGATGATCGCTGGGAGATGAAGGAGGCAGCATCCCCGGCCCCCCAGCCCCCCCAGCCCTCTCCACCCGAGGAGCCACACACGCAGGTATGGCTGGGCCACCACCTGGGGGGCGGGGGGCGGGTGCCGAGAACCTAGCACCCATCACCTATTCTCTAACCATCCTTGTGTCCCTGCAGCCACCTGTGGCCCCAGATCCTGTCCACCGGCCTCCTGAAGATGAGGGAGAGGAGGATGAAGGGGAGGAGGATGAAGGGGAGGAGGACGAGGAGTGGGAGGACATAAGTGAGGAGGAGGAAGAGGAGGAAGAAGAAGAAGAGGGTGCAGAAGAGGAGGAGTCCACCTCAGACCACCAGCTTCAAGAGGCCAACGCTGTCAGCCCCTCTGGCTCCCCCACCAGTGAGCCGACTGACCCCGTGCCTTCCAGGCCTGAGGAGCCCCTGCCACTTGGCCAGGCCCCCGCCACACCGACCAGTCCCTTCTCACCCACTGGGGACCACCAGCCTGTGTCCGACTGGGGTGAAGAGATGGAGTTGAACTCCCCCCGGACCACCCACCCGGCTGGCGAGCTCTCTCCCGGTGAGGCCTGGCCTTTTGGGAATGCATGAAGCTGGCTGCTTGTGGGTGTGCAGTGGGCGTGATGGCTGGCAGGGGACCCCTGGGAGTGGGCCCCGGGACCCACAGCCCTGGAAGCAGAGGAGGGCAGTCTGTGCCCTTCTGACAGTTCCACAGCCTGTCTTTTCACTCTCTCCTCACTCCCCGCCCCCAGTCACTGAAATGCCCACCCCTGGGTCCTATCCCCACTCAGGCCCTTCCCAATAAAAGAGTGCACAGCCTGAAATGACTTTCCCCAGTAGCGTGTCCTTACAGCCCCTCCAAATCCCTCAGGATGGGTGTCTTGGGGTGCGGGGATGTGTGCAGCGAAAGGGGGCTGACTGGGCCCCCACTTCCCCAGGAGGTCACCAGCCAGCCCCTGCCTCCCTGGAGAGTGGGCCCAGCCTCCCTGGAAGCCAGAAAGCTGAAGAGGAGGAGGGGCCTGAGGCAGCTTCAGGTGGGAAGAGGGCGGGGCTTCAGGGGTTGTGGGCGGGGCCATCTGAGCCTTGGTGTCTTCCAGGCCGAGAGGTCAGAGAAAGAGGATGTGGTCTGCGCCTCTGGCAGGCAGAGGGAGGGGTAACAGCTCGAGCTGGGGGCGGGGCTAGGATGCTGTGCGGAGCTCAGGAGAGCCAATGAGCTTTGGAGTCGTGAGAGCCAGAGCCAATGAAGAGCCGAAAGGAGGGCCCACCTTTTTGGTTGCCTGTGAATGAGAACTTTGAGCATGGGCGGAGCCAGACTGGGATTCAAATTCTGAAGCGGTGGAGGAGGGCGGGTGTACTGGAAAGCGATCAGTGGTCCTTATGCCCTTTGGCATTCCCTCAAGGTTCACCAAGTAGAGGTAAAAACTATGGGCGAGAGGCAGACAGATGAGAAGGTGGGGGTGGAGTGGAGGAAAGGCCGCTTGAACGTCAGATGGAAATGGGAGGGCTTTAGCTGGGCAGAGGTGGGCTTAGGCTGGGAGCTTGAGTGGGGCTGGGGTCCAAGGGGACCCTGTGTGGTCCACATGGCTGTCCTTCCAGTGCCACCTCGGGTGTAAGCAGGATGTGGGGAGTCAAAAGGGCTTCGTGGGGCCCCTGAGCGGATTAAACCGCTTAAGCAGACGCCAGCTGCTGCAGGTCTTGAATTCAGGGGAGGGGGTGTTCTAGACCCGGGTGGTGAGGAGGAGGAGGTAGGGTGGGGAGGCTGTACTCCCTCCACTGACCACCCCTTCTCTCCCCAGAGGCGGCCCCCGAGGCCCTGGAGATGGCGCAGATCACCGACTTCCAGAGGGTGCGTTTCTGCAAGGTGGTGGCGGCTGCCTCGCCTCCCGGGGCCGCCCGCTGACCGCGGGGCCTTACCGCTCGCACTAACCTCCCGCAGCCACGCACCTCTGCCCTCTTGCTTGGCCACACTCCAGCGAGGAGAGGGTTAAATGCAAGGGGAGAAGAGCCAAGGGCTGGGCTGTTGGCGGGGGTCCTCCTTACCCAAGTGTGGGTAACCCCGAAGCCATCAGAGTTAAGATTCTCATAGCCGAGGATTCTTCCCAGGACTTGAATTAAACGCAGTGCTTCCGCTAACCTTTGAACTGTGTTCCTGCGGGGCTGGGCTGCCTTGCTTGCGCGCTTTCTGGGGTGGGAGGGAGGAGGAAGGAGTTTTCTTCACGCTCTTGATACATTTTCCCTCCCCCCCTCCCGCAGGCCTCCCCGAATGCCTGAAGACGCTACTAGCAGGGGCCTGAAGCTTCCTCACCTTAATGGGGGCGGGGGTCAGGAAGAGGTTTAGAGTTCCGGGCTGTGCTCCCTTCTCCCCAGAGCCCTGTTCCTCATGTCTCTAGCAGATGGGAACAGATTGACAGGGTGCAGCTCTGACCTTTGGGCTTGAAATTGGACCTCAGATTCCTGCAAGGGCCGCCGAAGGTTGTGGGAAAAGGGATTGGTCCCATGGTGGTGGTGGTGGTGGTGGTGGGGGGGGGGTTGGTCGTGGTGCCTGGCGGTGGTTTAGTGCCCTGCAGTCTGTTTTACGTAGGAGTGACCCCATGCATCACGGAAGCAGACACCCCTCTGTCCCGTGCCATCTCCCAGACTTGGGTGTTTGAGTCCCTGTGTCAGTCCATCTTGCTCAGGGTCCTCCCTCTTTTTTAACTGACCCTTTGCTCGTTGTCCTTCACGGTGGAACGCTCCCTGCTCATAATGACATCTCTCCGTGCTGGCTTCTAAGGAGCGTTCTGGAGGTCCTTTTTCAAGTAGATCTGTACATTCTTTGGCAGTCTGTGATTGATTATTCACTAGCATCATAATTCAAAGACATTGGTCTCAGATGCATAGGAATGGATTGAAAGGACCATGGTTTGGGTCAGGCACACCTTAGTCCACAAAGTGACATCTTTGCTCATATACATAACACTTTAATGAGGTTCTCTGCAGCCTACTGCCCAATGCAGTACATTGCTTGAGGTCTTGAGCGCTGCTTCCCCGAACACTGGTGGATCCAAGTGAATGGAAATCCTTGACAACACCAGTGTTTTATGCTGCTGATTGTTACTGTTCCTGTTGTGAAGGGTTTTGTTTTTGGATGGTGAAGTGTTATCCATACTGAAGGTTGTGGTTTTTGATCTTCAGTATGAATTTCAAGACCTCTTCACCTCTAGCAAGCAGGGTTATGTTCTATGCATACCAGGGGTTCTTAATGAGTCTTTCCCAATCCTGATGCTGTATTCTTCACATGGTAATTGCTCAGTATACAGATTCAATAACTTCGTGGAAAGGGTACAATCCTTTCACTTTCCCTGACTTCAAACATGAAGTATCCCTTTGTTTTGTTTGAATGACTGCCCGTGTATAGGCTCCAAATGAACAATTAAATGTAAATTAAGTGTTTTGGAGTATCTGTTTTTTACTGTAGTGCTCATAATTTGTTATGATCCACACAGTCTCTGCATTTGCAGTCAGTAAAACACAGGCACGTATCTTTCTGGTGTTCTCAGCTCTTAGCTAAGATCCACCAGACATCAGCAGTGACTTCCTCATCTGAATCGCTTGAATTTCTGGCAGTTCTCGTAGCTGTACTGCAGTGGCTGTTTTTTCCTTTTCTCCAGCAGAATTGTACCTGCATATGATATAAATGACATTGATAATGTTTGTACTCTGTTGGATTGCCTCTGGAATGGGCATAAATACATATCTCATCAAGTTGGGTGGCCATATAACTGTCTTCCAAGTTTCTGGCATAGATGAGGGAGCCCACTCAACTTTGTATCCATTTCTGGAAACATTTCAAGTAGTATTTTGCCAAGTCCTGGTATCTTGTGTTTTCTCTAAAGCCTTTAGTGCAGCTTGGACTTCTTCCTTCAAAACCACTGGTTCTTGATCATAGGCTACCTCCAAAATGGTTGAGCATCAACCAGTCTTCTGGTGTGATATCATCCGTCTTATTTTGATTCTTCCTGTGTCATTCAATGTCCATTGAATCCTTCAATCTTGGAACTTGAGGCTTGCATTTTTACCCTTCAGTTCCTTGAGCTTGATAAATGCCCGGTGTGTGCTTCCCAAGTGGTTTTCTAAACTCTAGGTCTTTGCAGTTCATGATAAGGCTTTGTCTTCTTGAAACCTTCTGTTCCCCTTTACTGTATATCTTCCACTCATTTTAGCTGCTCTGCTTTTGAAGAGAGATTTTCAGGCTGTCTCTGACATCTACTTTAGGGTTTTCTCTTAGTCCTGCCTTTTTTACTACGTTTTGCTTTCAAATACTGTCTCTGTGACGTCATCTCACAGCTAATCTGATTCCAGCTTTAGTGTTTAAATTGAGTTTCTCAGGCTGCGTCAGTTATCCGAAAGGCAGAGTTAGGTGATGGGGCTGGGAGTCAAGCCCTCAGAAGTGGGTTCAGGTAGGGATTCATAACTCTGATGTGGGGGCTAGGCCCTAGGTGGGGAGCATGATTAGGGTGTAGTGCCAGGATATGTGGTGTGAGGAGATCAGGAAAGGGGCCAGAGCTGGAGCTGGGGCTGGGGATGGGACAGAGGCTGGGAAGTGAGGGTCGGGCTAGATACTGGAGTCCTTACTGCATTTAAGATGCCTATCCTATAGTTGATCAGGTTTCTAACCGCAAAGCTTGTGAGTTCAAATCCACCAACTGCTCAAAGGGTGACAGATTGGCAGGCTGCTCCCACCAGGATTTACTGCCTCAGAAACCTGGTGTAGGGTTGACTTAATCAGACTTCATAGCAGTGGATTTTGGATTTGTGGAGCCCTGATGGCTTAGTGAGTTGCATGTTGGGCTGCTAATTGAAGGGCCAGCAGTTTGAACTCAAAAGTCACTCAGCTGGAGTAAGTTGAGGCCATTTACTTTAGCAAAGACTTACAGCCTCAGAATGCCAATAGCGTGTTACCATGGGTCAGAAATGACCCCAAGACAGTGGGTCTGGTTTTGATCTGGCTTTGACAGTACTACCTGGAGCCCTGGTGATGTAATAGATAAAGCTCTTGGCTACTAAATCAAAGGTCAGCAGTTCTAACCCTCCAGTTGCTCTAAGAGAGACAAAGATGTCAGTCTGCCGGTAAAGTTTCCGTCCTCGGAAACCTCGTGGCACAGTTCTCGGCCCTTTTGGTTGTCATGAGTTGGAATAGAGCGTTAGATTTGTTTCTTGGGTTTTTGATGTAACATCTGAGCGAGGTTGGCTAATTTGGCGTTTGAGAAAAGAGGTATCGAAGTGCTCCATCTGGACCAGAGCTGTGAGGGGTGGGGGCGAGGGCTGTGCGATTAATCAATGAGCAGGGGGCGGGCTTAGGGGGTGGGGGGCGGGGAGAGCCACCCGTTGGGGCGTGGCAACACAGACGGAGGCGGGGCCTGAAGTGCGAAGGCGGAATCTGGGGGCGGGGTCTGAGACCGCAGAGGCGGGGTCTGGGGTGGAGAGGCGGAGCCAGAGGGGCGGGGCTTGATAGCGCGGAGGCGGAGACTGGGTGTGGTCTGAGAACACAGGGGCGGGGCCTGGGGCGTAGAGGCGGGATCTGAGGGCAAGGGGCGGGGTTTAAAAGCGCGGAGGCGGGGCCTGCGGGCGCGGGGCGGGGTCTGGAGCACAG